AGGGCTGAATCATCATCGAATCGATTATTATAGTAGAACTACCGACGAATATGTTTGAAAAAAGAAAGACAAAGGGAACTGGGCGGAGAATCGTGGAGGGAGAGAGTCTACCTTAATAATAAACGACGTAACATCCGCGAAATGGCGATTTTTCGTGCTCGTTCGTAGTTTACCCGTCTGAAATTACGTTTACTCTCGTTATATTTTGCCGTGCAAGCCAAACGAGGATGAAATCAGAAGGGTGTACGATAGTAAGATAAAAATCGATATATGTATTATATATAACACACACCAGACTTGTGAAATTAAAATTTGTGTTACTTTATTTTGAGGAAATGTTATATCTCTAGGTTGCTTTTCATTAATATAATACAGTCACAAAACTTACAAATTGTACGAGTAACAAGATTTTTATATTATATGTGTGAACTCTCTCTCTTAATTTAAATATCGTTATTTCTAATAAAAGAATCTTAAGAAATCTTTCTTTGTTTCAAGCATTTTGAAATTGTTTGACATCATATTAAAAAAATTTTCCTTTTTGACAGATTAAAAAAATATGTGAAAGTATTTCAATATTAATTGTTAGCATATATAGAGATAAATCTTAATAAATATTTAAAATTCCTAATTTCTATCATAAGTAAAAACATTTTCCATGTATAAATCAGTATTTAATTTTGCAGAAATAAAATTATTTCTATGAAATTAATTATATATTTATTATAGTTTTTTTTTAAATAAAATCATTTCTATGAAATTAATCATATATTTATTAATTTTTTTTAACTGGAATTGAATTACAGTTTAGAATAAAATTAGAAGTTAAAATATCAAATATACATACATACATATAAATGTAGATAAAATATTAACTGAGACTCACAATATCTTTGACAATCATCTAACAAAAATAATAATCAAATGTCTGCAAAATTGACTTATTTCACTTGCGCTTTTCTTTAAAGATAGATGTTCGATTCAAAACAACAAATTAATGAGTAATGAATATTATTATCACGCGCTAGAAATTCGATTACAAGAAACGAATGTTATCATTTAGCATTGAAAATGATAGTTCATTGATGAGTTTTGCTGAACAAATAAAAGCGTCAGTTATAATTGGTTACACTGTAATTTCGGTTGTCGATGAGAGGAACACCTCCGATGCGGCCACATTTCCATCGCGATATCGGGGACTATTATGCGAATCGTATGAATAATTACAACGACATAATGCAACATCGCTCGATGCATAATTAATAAACCGTGAGTATAACATAGATATATTTATCATTGCGGCTTTAATCGCATTTAATATTGCATTTCGGTGTCAATCTTTTTCTTGTCATTGGCACCGATTCGCCGAGTTAAATGCAAACAAACGAAATAAACATAAATATTACAGAGTCACTTTACATCAATAAAATAGCAGCAAAATACTATAGTTTGGTAACTATTATTGGCGACAGAATATATTACCGTAATAAATCAAAATTGTAATTAATTTCGAGCAAGAACTGATTACATCAAAAGCGGGGACTTTGCGTCTGTCGATATTCTTTGCTCAAACTATGACAATATATCGACATCACGATTTTTGCAGCATGATAAGAATTTTGTCATTCCGTTTGTCCGTCTATCGCGACCACTGATTAATTCTCCGATAATTCTTCCGACGAAATAACTCGCGCATCTGTCGTCGCGAGGTACCTGTAAATTTTCCGCTACCCAGGGATTTCGGAATTACACCATGTTATACGACATGGCAGTCGCGTGACATTTTATCGAATTTCGAGTTAGCACACTTGGCATATGCAAAGCCTCGCAAAAACTCAATCCCGGGATAACAAGCGGCAGATAATGCTCCGAAGACCGAAATATCATCAGAGCTAAAGAGAATTTTCCCGAAATATTCTGAGAACGAGAGCAAATAAGGGTCATTAGAATTTAACAATGCTCTTTATTTTTGCAGAAATTTTAACAGTGATAAAAAATTTAAGTCTTTTCCGAATGTACATTTGGAAAATGCCAATAAAAATTATCTATGACGTTTCTAAATTTTTCGTTCTTTCTTTAGCATCTCAAATAAAGTTTAACGAAATTTTCTGTTTTAAAATGTCTATTTTAAAATCGGAAATTTGGAGGAATCCTAGAGGATATTTCTTTGCCTCTAGGTTGGATAGAGTTCGCGCACAATATAACGCGCAATATATTCGATAATACAATTGAATTAGACTAAATTGGAGTTAGCTCACTCACCGAATATGAAGAACAGCTGATAATCTATCGTGACAATCCTCTGCTTTTCGAGGTACACAAATATAAAATACATTGCACTCGACATTTCCGTTTAATTATGACATACGACGCTCCGTCCACTGGCGTGAAAATTGCTGCGACTGATGACATGTAAACATGGCAAATGTAACGTAGGCGGTTCGCGCCAATTTTAAATGTACGCTGTATACGCGATCTATCTTGTGATTGTTATTCCTCGATGCTTCTTTCGATGCTTTCTAATGTTTCTTTCTCTAATGTTTTTTTTTTATTCTTTCGCGTAAATCTGAATTATTTCTAAACAGGCTGTATCTTAAAAAGCTCCCACTAAGCAAATAGCGTTATTCCTGATTAAAAACCGAGTCGAAAAGTCCTGAACCATTTTTTTCCCAAGATTCATTAAATAATTAATCAGATTTAAATATTAAAAGGATTTCTGAAAAGATGAATTGTCATAAAATTCATTGAAGTGAGAAACATCAGAGAACGCTTTATATTTATATTTATTACGATAAAGTAAATTATTTTTTAAGCCACTGTTTTTGAGCGTGTTAACACACATTTTTCGAGAATCGTGGAATTTAAATCGAAGAAAAATATTCGCGATATAACTGGAAGATACCTCGATTGTTTCGAGATGAGATACTCTCTATTTCTATCGTACTTTGCGAGGAAAATTTCCGGAAGAGTCCCTCTTTAAAAATTCACCAACGATAAAATCCTCAACGCAGCGGAGCCACGTCGAGCGTGCTCGACAATCCGGCGAGGCGGAAAGTTTATTACTACAATACTGCGAACTAAATATTTTCAAGTCCCATAGTAACGAGAACGCGGCGAATTGCCGAGATTCTTCCGGAAGAAAATAATTCCGCGACCTAACGATGAGTGGACGAGCCGTTTTCGCTTTCTGTCCTTCAAAGCGTCGCGAAAATTTCGCGTCTGCGAAAAAAAATTTGCTTTCTCGCAATAAAATAAAATTCGCCATAATTATTTTCTCAGTTAGCGCGAGCAAACTTCGAATAAGCGACGAGAAAAAGAATAACAAAGAAGTGAAACTAAATAAATTCGTGACGCAAACGCGAACTGCACGATAATTTGTCTGTATTCAACTTGGTATATTCTCTCTGCATGTGGTTAATCTTTGTATATATACCGGGGGATATATATTATGAGCGACTGTAATTCGAGTCTGAACACACTTCTACACACTTTCTCGTGCACATACATCGTGTCGGTATTTGGGACTAGAGTCCTCGCCTATCTTACCTTGAGCGCTTAACTTGTGCTTATACCTGAAACTGTTTCGAACGTGTCATTACTAACCCATTGTTCTATTGTCACACATTAACACGCACACGAGAACAATCGTGATATAACGGATCCAACGAAGCAAATGAGTCAAGTTTTCGTTTCAAAATTGCAGTGATACTAACAAATCGCTTTTATTCCTCGAACAAAAATTGCTAAAGGCATTCGCAAATTTTTCTGAAGAGAATAGAGTTTATTTTATGTATATCAATTAATCGCATAAAGTGTGAATATTATAAGTAATGTTTAATAAATGAGTTAAATTTAGTTTTCAAATTTGATAAAATTGATATTAAATTCTATTGTTTACGAACTTTATAAAAGTGAAAAAGATTTTTTTCAATTGTCATCATTTCTTGAAATTTCGTACATTACTAGATTCGTGATACAAAATGACAATTTTGAATTTTTATTATTAAATAAAATATAAAATATTCAACGAGATTCTCGAGTTATACTTATGCAATGTCAGTGACGAGATCGAGACACCAAAATGCGCGAGAATCGTGTTCATCTGATTCTCAGTTGGTGATTCCGCGAAGAATTTGGAAATTGCTATAAAGTCGTTCCGCTGGGTGACGTTTTCGCACACGTGACGATTGCAGGTGCAATCATCGTAATTCCTGCTCGGTGGACGTGCGCAGCGACGTTTTCGAGGAAGATCCTTGTCCTGGGACCGGAAAGTACATCGAGGCTCACTACCAGTGTTTAGGTTGGTTCACATGTTTTTTTTTTATTTTGACATTTTCGCGATCGCGAATTTATCCGAGAAATTTCAAGGGATTCGTCTCTCGTTCAAGATGCTGCGGAAAAGCTTCATAATTTTGAGGAGTAAAGTATTTTTTTGCTCTTCTAAATTGATCATTGATGTTAAAATAGGATGCAGTTTTGAATCTTTTTTGTAATTAATTCGTTTTCCATTTTATTCTTGTTATCTTATAATTTTACTTGGTGTTTGAAAAAGTTACATTATTTTAATTTATTAGTTAATTTGATTTTTTTTTATTATTTTGTAATTGTATGTGATTGGTTTACTTTCTATATCATACATAATTATTCAGTTGAAAAATACCAGAGTAAGAATATATTCTAAAAGAATATATCCTCTTCTGATCGAAAGAGACATAAAATTCTACGACTCACATTTTCAATTAAAAATTAAAGTTACGCCAACAAGAATTTAATCAATTTCTATCAATTAAAAATTCATTCAAAATATATTACATAATTATTAATATTGTAAACAACGCGAATGGAATGGATAAACTTCGACGAAAAAGTCTCTCCCTGAGAGCATTGCTCTTATTTCCCACCTATAATCGAAGAGATGAAAGGAACGAGATCCATGGCGGTACACGTGGTAAGAGTGTACCATGGTCATTTTGTTAAACGCGAGTCGAATCCCCATCCAGGTGCAACGAACAGCAAAATTGCAGCATTGTTGCGTCCACGCTGCAATTCGGCGATCCTTGTCCGAACACACACAAATATCTCGAAGCGCACTATCGATGTGTGTCTGGTAAGTAAAACTTTTCCACTTTTACGTTAGCTTTAATCCTCTTAGCTATATAATAATTATTGAACTTTATCGAAAATTTCAGAAAGATTGTAAATTATTAACATTATTTCAAGAAAAAAGATTTCAAGAGAAAAGCAGAGAAATATTTTAGAAAAAACTATTTTTCTTCTGAAACAAAACAATTTTTTTAAGAATTAATTTTAAGAATATATTTTGAATATATTATTTTTGTTTCAATTTCTTTATTTTTATAGTATTTATTATTTATTCTTTTATTTCTAAATTTCAACATTAAAATAATTATCGATACTGTTGTTGATTTAATTGAAGAAATATATATTAAATTGTTTTTTTTTTTAATATTGTTTTAATACATTGTTTTAATTTAAAATATCGATATTTTTTAATAACAATATCTAAATCCTTTTAATCCTCTGTATTCCTTTTTATGTAACGATTTTTATATATCGTTCATTGGATCTTGAAGATTCAATAGATTAAATATAAGTTTCACGACACCAATATATATCCTCAAATTGCCAAATTTCTTAATATCTCCCAATTCATTGACAGAGATAAAATCAACTTCTCTTCTCTCTTTGACTCACATATGTATTTTAGTTTTAGATGCGACGAATATTGATGCCCCCAATATGTTATCTTATTGCTAACTTTTTCGGTCAATAAAGGCAATCTCTAGATAGCATGCCAAAATATACAAACTATTTTCTACATTTTAAGATTAATATATTATAGCTATATTGGATTAAAGATTTTCTTCTCAACGATTATACTCGCGTTATTGAGTCGTATAATTTGTCTAATTTTGTGCTCTGTCTCTTTCTCTATTTTTTGACATTTTAAAATCTCCTATCTTTGCAAAATGCTTCTCGGATTATATTTAAAGTAATAACCAATGGAAATTTTTCAAATTTTCATTTATCACATCCATTTAATAATTATAAAACTCGATATCCGAAAATATATCTCCCGAGAAAAAGCGGTTTTTCATGTTCTCTGTCTTTGATATTGAAGAAATAATGATGGATTTTTTTTATAAACAAAATAATTTTAATAAAAATATTCAGTAAAATTGATATTACATATATTTAATAATATTTCTTTTAAATAATAATATTCCTTTTAATAAGATTGTCAAAAAGTTATTGTGTCTACTGTAAACATGATTATTTTTATATACATATATTTTTATTTTGTTAATATTGTTTTATTTATTTTCTATCTTATCAAAGAAATTTAATTTAGTGCGCAAAAATTTCTTGATCAGTAAAGTGCATCAAATATTTTAATATAAAATTCCAATATTATTGTATTTACCATATTCATATCTACTCTTCGCAAAAGGAGATTTACTCAAGCTTTATCGAATGATTACGATTAACAAGAATCCGATATAAATCCGATACAGCGGATAAGCTCTTCCCACCGTAGCGAGCCAAGAAAAACAGAGACGAGAGTATCTCGATATCTCCGAGCCGCGGATATCTCATTCCCTTCAGTCCCTATCGGGAATATACGCAAAGTACAGACAGTTCATTCAAACTCTATCAAATGATTAATCCGATATAAATTCGACGAGGAAGATAAGCTTCCCATCGTATTAATCTGAGAGGGAGGGAAATGTGGAAAGATAGAGAGAGAAAGAGAGAGGGAGGAGGGGCAAGTTTGATATTCCTGAGTCGGAGACCTCTCGAAAGCCTTAAATATCCCGCACCCCTGAAATCACTTTTCTTCTTAATTATAGTCTCAGTCTCCTATTCCGATAAGCTCGTAGACGAGCTCCCCGATTCTCCGGCTCTCTACGAAAGTAGTTTCTTCGCACCGATCTTTCCATCCTCATTAAGTTCGATCTCGACGAAACACATTTACAGCAGCCACCACCACGACGACGACTCGGCTGAGTCCGCCGTGGTTCGCAACTTCGCAGCCGAGTGTCTGGAGTACCGCTAAGCCGACCGTCAGGCCTCCCTCGAGGATTACGGTACCGACAGCGCAACAGCCCCCGCAGCAGCCACCGGCGCCGTCCACCCCGGCGATGCCTATAACAACGCCGGCGAGGTTAGTGTGCTAAACATAATTCATAAATATACGCAGCTTGATAGACTAAAAACCGAAAAATTCGGACTTTAATTTAAAATCATACACTGAGGAAAAAATTATCTTGAAATAAAAAAATTTTAGTTAACTCAAGAAAGCTATTTATTCAGTGGGTACTAATCACGTATTTACTTGTATTCAAAACGTCTGTTTGCTTAAGTTAAGTATTTATTTACATATGTTTAAAAAAATATATATGCTTAAAAAAATATAATTTTTAATTAAATATTTTTATTTTAATTTTACAAAATATTTATTAAAATGCATTCTTTGTTCCCAAAAATTTTAAATTTTTTAATTAAAAAAAATAATATATTTAATTTAATAAATTAAAGTATATATTTTACGAAAATAGTATTTAAATATAAAAATATATAAATCAAAATAATGTACTTAATATAACATGCATATTTAATTAAAATTAAATGCTTTTGCTTAAATGAAATAAATAATTCCTTCCATTTAGAGCAAAAGTTTCAAGAAAACAAATTTATTTGATTCAAAAGTTTTACCCTCAGTGTATTAATATATTTATTTTGTTATTATCGAATATTACATATCTCACGTATGTACATAAATACAGTGAACGAAAAAATAGATTTGTCTTGCGTATCGGTCATTAATTTCATTCGATCGCACATTATTAGGGAATAAATATTTTTTTCACGCCATTAATTTATATCAAGCGCAATCTATATGGTTGTCATAAAGTTTGTATACGAGGAGAAGAGGAGCGCTTCCTCCCCCTCCTTTTCAAGAGCCTCTTTCATTTTCAGCCCTACGTCAACAAGGTCCTTCGCCGACATCGAGGTCGACGAAGAGGATCAGGACTTAATACCTCCTGCGAACGGTCCTCCGGCAAATGGCCCGGCAATGACGCCGATTATACCTGAGACCACTCAAGCTACGACAACGTCCACCTTCGCTCCCTGGAGAACCAGTCGAAGGACCACCGGTAAGTATCTCCTCTCCTTCTTGGGAAACATTATATAATAAGGCGTCATTTTAAATAATAATATTGATACCCCTTGAATTAAACATTTTTTGAAAAAGAAAAAAGGAATATTTTATATGTAAAAATATAAAATGTGTGTGTATTAATATGACATTAATTGCTCTCGTTTTAATATATTTATTTACTTGCAACAAACTTTAACTGTAATGTTTAATTTTTATATTTAATTTGTAATATTAAAAGTAAAATTTTCGTTAAGAAACAAATATGTATTTGAAAAAATTGATTTATAATTTTATTATACTTATACAACAAGGTTTTTTTTTTGACAATCTGAGATTTTATGAAGTTTTTGTTTTCCTTTAAATTGTCAATTAATTAATTATATTTGGACCTTGTGTGATAACTGCTACGACATCTTTACACAAGCTATATCCGACATCCCGGTTATGGATCTACGAATCTATGAATTGACTTTGAGGATAAACCGCTAGTATCAGACAACGCGCCATAAGCATGATAGATGACCAAGATTATGAGTCAGCTGATATAATCATAGTGTCTAGAGACGGATCGCTATTATCTACTTCATTTCTTTCATTTTTACTTTTATCTCTTTCAATACGTGAATACATTTCCGTTGTCTATAAATTGTCGCGGCTAAACGGCGTATTTCTGCTCCAATCGCGACGAAGCATTAAGATCCCCCCCGGAGAGAACCGAAATTCCATTTCCGAGCGTCGTTGCGCACCGAGCTGCATCCCCGAGGACGTCGTGACGCCGATATCGCATTAACGCCATGCCGTTAACTATAGTCGTTATAGTCTGAGAGCCATTTAAGATGACGAAACTGACCGAACCATAACCGCTATTGTTACAGTACCTAGCACGTTGTACCCAGAGTCCAGCTCGAATGGTCAATGGTACGATTATGGTAGACAGGTGTGTCCCCCGATGGCAGCCAGGAACTTATCCTGGAACACGACTAGAGCCGGCGACGTGGCCGTGCAAAGCTGTCCTGGTGGTGCCAATGGTTTAGCCAGATGGCGATGTCTCGTCCACGGTGATTCTGCCTTTTGGCATCGCGATACTCCAGACTTGAGCGAGTGTCGGTCCGTCTGGCTGACCACGCTAGAGAATCGAGTGACGGAGGGCGACGTGATCCTGGGCATCAGCAGAGAGCTCTCGCAGGTGACCAACAACAGTCGTGGTTTGTACGGCGGTGACATGATGATCACCACCAAGATCATCAAAAACATGGCCGAGAAGATGGCGCTGGACATAAAGACTTACCATGATCTAAGTCAGAGGGAGGTCAGCGTCACGGAGCTGTTGCAGGGCGTAGTGAGGACCGGCAGCAATCTACTCGACAAGGCGCAAATGGCGTCCTGGAAAGATCTCAGTCATCAGGAGCAGATGAGGGTCGCCACGTCGCTACTGATCGGTCTTGAGGAGAACGCCTTCTTATTGGCCGACACGCTCGGACACGATAAGACCATCATACACGAGGGCAAAAACATACGTGAGTACCGCTAATGATGATTAGTAATTGCTGCAGCAATTTACAAAATATACATTTATTATATCCTTCCATATTAGTAGGGACGGAGGACATTAAGAATCTCAATATCTTCTTTATTAGGTTATTATTTTTCTTTGTAGCCTGTCTCACGAATGCTCTCTCCTCTAGATAATTGTAGAACATAATCTTGAAATCGTTTGGTTTTATTTGTTATGTAAAATAGCGATTCGAAATTTTTATCTAAGCTTCTTACATTTTATCAAACACATAAGTTCAAAATATAAAAAAAATACATAATATTATTTTAAAAAACAATTATATATCTTAGTATTCTTGAGGCTATACGTTTATTTAATCTTGAGAAATTATTAATATTAAAGTTGAAAGAAACGAAAGAGAGTGATTTAACTTGAATAACAATTTTGACTATATATTTTTTGTCAGCCTTACAACATAGAATTTATGTAATTGTGTAATTTATCTTGAAGTAAAATTGTTATCCCTCTGGAATAGCCATTTTCGTTCCAGCATTTTAAGAGTCAACGAACGCGCACTTTCCATATGCCTTCGGCATTCATCGCGAGTATTCGGATGATTTATATCGCTCGCGTATCTAACACCCGGTAATCTTCGGTATAGATAAAATACAGATCTGAATCCATCGTAATTCTCCGGTACCCGCCCGGATTACGTCATAATCCGGCAAGTATGGGGCGGGCGCGCGCTATTATTATTACAAAATAGCGGTAGAATTACGAGAGAGACTTGATTTACTTCCCGGAAGTGCGTCGCTGTTTGATTGAGCCGCAATGTACGTGCATCGTAGCGTCATCAGATGCACACTTGATAAACTGCATAACGCGGCGAAGGGCAAAAAGTGGTGGAGAAAGATGGGGGAAAGATGATGAGCGACAGCCGGTCGGATGCCATGTAACGTCCTCTTTTCGAGAAGAAAAATTGAAATCGCATAAATCCTTCTTCCTGACAGCATTATTGATTAATACCGTGATCATTTTTTAATCGTTTACTTTGCGAAAATGCAGTATTAGAACTATCGCAGTTTTTTCGACAATTAAATTCTTTTATGAATATTTAAATTAAATTTTTAATGAAATTACCTTATTAATCTGCCCCTTTTAATTTTACTCGATCGCAGGAATAAAAGTCAAAGAAAATAAGAAAATTAATTTCTTTCTGCAGGGGTTTTCAACTTGTAACATATGCATCTTCGTCTTTAATTAATGTTATAATAGCTTTTATGTTTAAAATTGAAAAAAAAAATTATATCTTAAAATTACACATTTATATAAAAATGTATCAAAATAATATATTTTACTCTATTTATAAAACAACAAAAATATTTCAATCTTCACCAGCGAGTTTATTTTAATTAATTAATTTATCATATATTTATGTGTGTGTGAAAAAAGGTAAAATGTTTAGTATACTTAAAATGAATATTTACTGTGTGCAAGTTTGAAAACCGCTGTACTGTCGTAATTTAATTCGCGTCTTCCGCGAATTTACGACTAGAATTCTCACGGAGCGCATTAACCGCGCCGAGGGAGCGAAACACCTACTCGCTTAATTAGTCGCGTGCGTGTCTTCACTACAGTGATGGAAGTTCGCGTACTGGACACGCGTAACATCGACAACGAGCTGGAAGTTTTCCCCAGCGAGGCCGTCCAGCAAAAGTGGACCGTCTCGAACGATCGTGTGGAACTTACCAGGGGCGCTTTGGTGGATAGCAGCGACAGCAACATCGTGCGGCTAGTCTTCATGGCATTTGACAGACTCGAGGAGATACTGCAGCCGCAAGCCGAGCCGCCATCCGTCGTCATGAACGACGATCCCCAGCCCGTGTCGCGGAGGAACACCACCCGTATTCTCAACAGCAAAGTTATCTCGGCGTCCTTGGGAAAAGGCCGGCACATACAGCTCTCGGAACCCGTCCGGGTGTATTTCAGGCATCTGGTGGTCGAGAATGTCACCAACCCCACTTGCGTCTTCTGGGATTACATCTTGAGGTAATTTCGCCTTCATCCGATCCTATTTCCACTTTGTACAATGCTAAGAATACCGAGGAGAAATTTTTCTCTCTTTTCTTCTTTACTTCTTATCTTCAGTTTTCTTCCCATGTCTTTGTTGCGCTACATATATCGCTCACGATACATCATTGATTTATTGTCTATTGTTTTCACGTGTTTCTACTATTTTTTATTTGAAGCTTGATTATGGAGTTTGATATTTTATACATAAATTTGATAAAAGACGTTATTTTAAAATTGATTAAAAGTTAAGATTTTTCAAATAATCTCTTCATTTTGAAAATCTAATTCTTAAGTTTCAACATTATAAGTCTTTAATAAGAAAAATCTTAAAATATATATATATTCGGAAATCCATAATTTATGTGCTGGATTTAACGCATCCTGTATATTGGATGGAAAATGATCAACAAAACGAACATTGTGAATGTCCCCTCTACACGAGGTACCTTATTTCATGTAGCGCGTGGTCGGACGAGGGATGCCAGATACAAAAGACCAACGAGACTCACACCGTGTGCGAATGCAATCACCTGACGAACTTTGCCGTGCTGATGGACGTGCACGCCGTCAGACTGGACATCGCTCATCAAGTCGCTCTGCAGATCATTACGTATATAGGCTGCATCATTTCCGTCGTTTGTCTCGTTCTGGCCATTCTCACGTTTCAATTATTTCGCGGACTAAAGGTAATATATATAACTGCGCAAAATATATATAATGCACATATCGATCGCGTTCAATTGCAATGAGATGAAATTTTTCCTCACCCCCGGATTTTCTTTACAGTCGGATAGGACGACGATTCACAAGAATCTCTGCGTGTGCCTGTTGATAGCCGAGGTACTCTTTGTTTGCGGGATCGGTCAGACGAATCAGAGGATCGTCTGCGGCATCGTGGCCGGTTTATTGCACTTCTTCTTCTTGTGCGCGTTTGCCTGGATGTTCCTCGAAGGTTAATTAATTCAATCGTCTTGCTCGCAATTTGTAATATATCTTGCTCTATTTTCATTTATTTTTTACTCGATTTTATATCATGTCGCAGGATTCCAATTATACGTGATGCTGATCGAAGTCTTCGAGGCGGAAAAATCTCGACTTCGATGGTATTATCTGGTCGCATATGGCGCACCGCTGCTGGTTGTAGCAATTTCCTGCATAATTGACCCACTCAGTTATGGTACCGATCGGTATTGTTGGCTACGAGCGGATAATTATTTCATCTTCAGCTTTGTTGGGCCTGTGATACTCGTTATATTGGTAATTAGCTGGTATATTATTAATTAATTAAACGTTAATGCAATTGATCGGCTGAAAGAAAAGCACATTAAGTAGTTGACAAAGTTTACTCGCATCTATTCCGTATATATTAACGTGACATTTTTTTGAGATTTTCAGTTTCCCGATGACGGCATCGAAACGTCGCTATAATCGATTTTACTGTCATTTTCGCAGGCGAATCTGGTATTTTTATCAATGGCGATCTACATGATGTGTCGGCACGCAAACACCACCGTGGCCATGAAGAGTAAAGAGCACTCCCGACTGGCTAGCGCAAGGTAAGCACAGTGATCCCTAGTAGCTTGTTCTAGTAAATCACCGTAAATTACGAACTGTATATACCGTATATCAATCGAGTCCGTCCGTTGTCCGTTATATTCGAGATTTGATCCTCCCGTCGAAGCGTAGTATCCGAGATGTTTGTTTGATGCTTTCGGTTTACACGTTCGCAAGCTTTACTTGCTTAAAGAGATCTCCCGAACGCGGATCTTGTTGTCACGCATCTTTTGGCGGCCATGCTGAATTTTTGGTTTTGGTTTTGAGTCCTATGTTTGGAATGACCGCAGATTTCGTTCTCGTTCGACACACCACTGTATTGCTGTGATATACACGATATATCATTTTAGGATATACACGAGTATATCGTTTGATCACACAGATCGTCATATGCAGGGTGTACCATACCACTCAGGGTGATTGAAAAAAATCGCTGAAATAACTATATAAACTATTTGCGGTTCGAATAAAAAAAGTTTCATATTTACTTTTTGCTTTGCAAACTAAATTCTATGCTTTAGATTTCAAAAATTCTGCAGATGCTAAGTGTTATCCAAAAACACGAGAACTTTTTAGTAATTTTATTAATAATGATTAATAATAATTTTTAAAATTTGAAAATGTGAGATTTAAAATACAAATTTTTTAATCTGTAAATGTTAGATTTTAAAGATTTTTGCTACGATTTCATAAATTTTCAACTTTACTAACGTTTGTTACATTTATGAATTTTTATCATAGATAATTGTGTGAAATTATTTGTATATCCATTTGTTCCTTGGGGCACCCTGAATATCGCCTGAATGTCTAATTTACAAATTTACTGAACGGAAATAAAATTTATGTTTATAAATTATTATAAAATAAATGAAAAAAAAATTGTCTCTGTTTCGTGAAAACATATAAACAATTTGGTGATGGTAATGAAAAAATTATTGCAATCCCGATTCGGATTATTACAAATAATGTCTTTCATGATGACAAGTATTAAAATACGTACAATGATCTTTTTAATCCGCATAATTGACATAATTAATCATAACGATCGCATCATTTTACTTGCGAGCAAAAAGTACTTTGCGTGCTCGGCAAAAAAGTAATACGAATCGAGTATTGCAAATCGAAACGTAAATTATAATCAATTAAATAATGGTGCCGGAACAATCACCTAACTCTTGTTTCATTTTTGTATTAAATCTTCTACCCACTTCTGTCTACACTGTTCTACATTCTTCTGCATGGCGTGGTTGGTTGGTAGTGGAAAGGAAGAGAATGCTCTTCCCAACAAATTGCAAGCGCACTTGTAAGATATTTACCATTTTTATTATTATTCACCCATATAGTTAACATCGTCATTGATCACCATCTCGCTCGTTTCATTATTTTTTTTTCTTTAATCCATTTCATTTTAAGCTATTCGAGTATCATTTCATATTGATTTTGTGAACGTAGCTGTAGTCTTTAGTCTCTCACATCATACATCGAAACACTCGCCATATGTGATAATGTGATACTCACCGGAAACGCGATTTAAAGCGCCAATATGTAACATGTTTATGTCTGCACATGATGTAATTAATACAACAATTGAAGGAATAAGTGTATGAAGATGCAATATATTTATAATATTTGAAGACTAACAATTTTAAATTAAATGATTACAGTAAAATAAAAAATAACTGGTAAAAATTAAACTCTTTTGTAAAAATATAGTGCCCTCACTTAATCCTTCGCAATTAAAAAATCATAACAACATATGATCTATCAAGTCATTTCGAAATCTCGCATTTTTTTTGTTTCAATTGAGAGCTTATCGTTAAATCACAGAAAAAATATTGCTTAAGTAAATAACATCATGATATGTACAATTTTAATGCATAATTTTATAGTAAATATAATTTAATTTTAAGTATTGAATAAAATAGTTATTATAATTGAAGATTTTTTTCTAAATAATCATTTCTTTGTATTTTTAAACTGTTTTATAAGGAAAATATCATCAACTGATTATGTCAACTTTATATTAACAGCTAAAGTTGGCTGGTATAATAACTATATATTATACTGTACATTATTATACTTATATTTATTATGACATTTGTATTTCCTGTGAGTAGACACAACGATTCACTGCATGTAGTATTTTCCTTAGTTTCGGGTATTACGCCTGATTTACAAGTAGATAGACGTGAAAGTATACCGTAGAGATATATCCGCCTACCTGTGTAACGTCACGTTCTAATCACAACGATTTAGATAAGACGTCGCGATTTCGGCGACGCTTAAAGTAGTGCCTGCGAAAATAAAAAGGTTGGACTCTGCATACTGTTGTAATATTTAAACGTCGCCCGTTGCGTGTCTCACGACAGCTACGTGACAGCAGTATTATTTTTTTTTCAACGTCACATTTACTAATCTTAAACATTTAAACCGTGTGTCGCGATCGACTGAAGAAACTCGGGATTGGTTGCAATCATCTTTTAATTTTTTTATGACAGCAAATCCGGGAAAGAAAAAGAAAAAAAAACTAAAAAAACACATTTATTATCTATTGTATATTAAAATAAACAGATGAAAATTTTTTTAGAAATTTTTTGAAATTTTTAGTGCAACGCGGCAGTATTTGCGACTCTACTTTTATATTTTAAGATTAATTATAACAAATATAAAATGTCGCAAAAAAGGAATTTATCGAATTTTTTCATTTGTAGGAACGATATCTTTTTATTTTCTTTCTCATATTCTTCTTTAGAAAGTTATCGAATTTATATGTATCAATCTTTTTTTTATTAAATCGTTGCAAGAAAATTTAAATAATAATAAATAATAAAAAAACTTGAATAACAATAAAATTGACTCTGAGTTCTTTTAGAAGAGATGCATGTAAGATATACAAAACTGAAATTTTTTGACGAAATATATATTCCAGAGATTTTACGCGATACATTGATCCCCTTTAAGCGCCGCCATCGCGATTTGTATTGTATAACAGAAACCTGGGACTAGCTGTTCTTCGATGTAATTTATTATCCTGTATCTTTTGATCAGGGCCTGGCTGCGGGGCGCTATCGTGCTAGTGTTTCTACTAGGTCTGACCTGGACGTTCGGGCTCCTCTACTTAAACCAAGAGTCCGTTGTGATGGCGTACATCTTCACCGTATTGAACAGTCTCCAGGGGCTGTTTATCTTTGTGTTCCATTGCGTACAGAACGAGAAGGTAAGGGAATACGTCGGGGCACAGAAGTCCGCCTTGATTTAAACAGTTCTGGTAACATTGCCGAATGTTCCCGGAGAGAGAAAACAGACAACAAACTTCGAATTTATTCGAGAAATATGTAACATGATAGCAATATGTAATTTTTACCGCATAAGAATAGTCTCGTGCAATTTTTTATAATAGTAACTTAACTTTGCATCGATACGCTTCCTATAAGATCATTCTTATCGCATATTTTTGATGAACGATTGATGTAATGATAAATGTTACACGTACTTCGTTGCTTGTAGAAAAAAATTGTGTACATTTTTTTTTATTTATAATGAGATTAATAGCAGCAAGAGTTGTAACGATCCTTTATAAATCCACGTGTGTTTTCATTTTTGTATAAATTTTTATATAAAAATTCAAGAACTTCTTAACACTTAAGTTTAACATATCGATTACGTAATTCATGCTAATTAAGATCGCCGAGACGATAATCATGTCAACATCGTATTATTTTGCTCACGAATATCAGAACATGGAGATGAGAAAATGATATGTTTAATAAAGTGTTGTGGTAATACAAATTATTGTGCGTTTACTTCGCGCACTTTCGCCACCCGTAGTACGCTTATTATAATTTTCTCAAAAATTTAACTTTTTTTTTCTGTCATCGCGAGAAGCACCGTTGTTATACTCATTTATCGTTAAATCGGCACCAGAATTGCAAATTGTCAAATTCATATTGCACAATATTCTCACCCAATAACTGCAGACAGCTTGCTCTCAATTTTTTTTGCCTAAAGACAATAAAAGATAATAGATTTTCAATAATACATATATGAAAAAGGTTCAGTTTTTTCTTATTTTGTCGACAATAATTTTAAACGTGCTACTCTTTGCGAAGCTGTCTGCAATTCTCATGTATCAGACGCGAAGAGACGCATTCGCACACTGTCTCGCACAGGACTTTAGTTCTTTCACGCACCGTTAAACTCGTTTTGTCGGGTCGGGCGGGTTCTGTTTCGCTCTTGCAGGTGAGAAAGGAGTACAGGAAGTTCGTGCGTCGCCATTCCTGGCTGCCGAAATGCCTGAGGTGCTCGAAGACGGTTACGGGCGGCACGGCCGGTTCCACCGGTGGCAGCGGCGGCACCGGAGGCGCCAACGGCGGCAAGGACTTCGCCTCGCACAACACCTCGTCGAATCCGTCAGCCCCTACCACCGACAGCTCCGGACTGTCACCCCATGCGGCCACCAATGTGGGTACCAACGCTAGCACCACGTCACCGCCGAACAATCACAACAACCTGACCACCACCTGTAACAATACGAATCTTTCGATAAACGTGAACCTGAACAATTTGTCGCTGAGATCGCCGGTCGGGGCACACCAGATGCACATGATGGCACCTAGCAACCACAATAGGCATCTCACCCAGCAAGGTATCCAAATGCCGCTTATACACCAAACCGAAATGCGGATAACGAGGCGAAGTAGAGACATAGCTCCGCGGAATTAGAGTGACCGATATTTTTTATGAAAATTTAAGTCATGATTTTTACAAATATTGCGTCGTTTTGTATTTTTTTAAATTTATTCTATGAGCATTAGTTGCTAGCAGTTGATCAAATAGCAGTAATTTTTTATATCTGATTTTAGTAAAAATGTTAATTAAATTAATTAAATTGATAATTTAATTTTATTATTATTTAATTAAACAATTAGAGAATTGTTGAGATAAATTTAATTTTTTATCATTGACCGAGCGATATATTTATCACTTTTTCTTTTACTTTGCCAATTAACAACAATAATTATGTTACATGCGGAATCACGTAATATTTGAAAAAATTAACACATGTAAATTTTCGCAAGAATATTGGTTACCATGTTCTTTCGTGGAGCAGTCAAGAAATTAAAATTGTAGGAGTCCGAAAGGGGAACGTGCGTCTTTCTTCTCCCTCTCTCACTTTTTTTCATAATATAGCAATGACGGTGCAATACTTGGTTATTATGAAGTACGCAATCAATGTCTATTTTTTTGTATAGACAAAATCAGATAAGCATATGTAATAACTTGTATGCGGGACTCTCATGGGAACGATTCTCGAGTACCGATAAATTGCGTTTCTCCCTTTTTTTTCTTTACATATTCTTTTCTCGCTTTGCTCTTTCCAGTATGATTATAAATAACACAAGTATGATCCGTCTGTAATTAATTATTATTGCTCACTTTTTGCCTGTCGCTCAGAACTCAAGCCTGCCTTCCTTTAAGCTTGTCCCCTTCACAATTGAAAGGTTGTTGCTAGTCATAGTCTTTTCATGTGAATTATGGTTTCTGTCTATCTCTCTCTCGATTCTCTCAACGCGTGTAAATAGATTTTAGTCCATTATATTTAGCGTTAGATGTGATTATTTGGTTCTCAATCTCTCCTTATTTATTTAATTAATAGACCAACAAAATTTTAATTAAAATACAATTTCCTTTTCTTATCTTAATATATCTTACATCAAATGTATTGCAGGATTTGAGGCATGCAAGTCCTGCTTCATTGTCTTTATTAATAAGACTTACTATATATTCAAAATACATTTTTTCTTTTTTTTAAGAGTGAATTGCAAGTATAAAAACTTTGCTATAAATATATATATATATTTCTTTTTTACTCTAAAATTCTCTAACATATATATTATACATAGAATTGAGGACGACTTTGCCTATGGTTACGGCTATATAACAAAAAATTTTCTCTTTAAAAGCAAATAAATCCTTATATTATACAAATATAGATTTACGGAAACTCTTCATGTAAATAGATCGGATTATTATTCTTTGGGAGCTCTATATTTATAATGATTTTATATACATTAGCTTTAATGCTCCAAACGAAAAATATGTCTGAAAGCTTTTTTTTGTTAGCAAATCACTTCAAAAACTGACTCGCAGAACGGCGAGTTAAAAGGCATTTAACGAACCGTTCGACTCTTTCGATTCTATCGCGTTCAGAGAGTCGAAGAGAATTGGCTGACAAAAATAGAGCGAGAAGGAGAGAAGAAAAGAGGGAGGGAGAGAGAAAGACAGAGAAACTAGCGAGATAAAAAAATGTATTTAAAAGAGATGGTTGAACGTGCTCGTGTACGCTGTTATAGGATAGCTTGTAGGAAAACGCCAGCAAGAGCGAAACTTTAACGTTAAAAATAATTGAGAATGTAAGAAGTTTCACAACGTTTAAACGAGTTTCTTTTTAAATCCTTTTAATTTACACACAACGTTAAATAAAATAATAATTTTAAATTACGATTATTTTTTTTATAAAATAAATAATTTGTTGATTGCAAAACTATTTAATTTTTATTCATTTTAACTTTTATTATTAAATTATTGTGTACTTCTATGTTTATGTTTAAATTTTTATAAAGAAAAAGAAATTGCAAAGAGTAATAAAAAATAAAATTTAGATTTAACATTTTTTTCTTTCTATGCAATTATATTACATAATATTTTTTTATCAAAACTGGTATTTTGTTCTATTTATTTTTCAGTTTGTAGCAATTTTAATAAGGTAAAATTTTTTTCAATAAGTCATTATTTAATATTGAGAACTCGTTAAAAAATTAATGGAAATTCGGCGTTTCTTGTTAATCTTGATTTAATTTGAATTTCTCATTAATACGAACCTCGTTATACTTTTAATTAAGGTTATCTCTTTCTCTCTTTCTTTCTCTCATTCTGGCATCTCTTCTTTAAAATATCAAGTAACGAATAATGATAATCTTTTGAGGATCTTAAATATAGGTTTTAAATTATTTGAAGAAAATTAAATTATCGAATGCGAATAAAATCAAACATATCACTTAACCATCGATTAGTTTCAAACAATTTAGAAATGTAAAAATAGATTTTTGATATCCTGAATTGTGTATATATTGCATTGATAAAAACATTTATCGATTTTATAATGAAAAATGAAAATAGTTATTTCTATATGACTATGAAATTTTATTTCTAGTAATTATTTAATTAATTAAATAATTGTAAATTGTTAATTTTACTTTCTAAACAAGTAATACCATCACTTTCATTATTATAATGTTTTTTTTCTTTTTTTTGTACATATATTTATCGTCTTAATTTATTCTTTTCCCACAAAATTAATTCATAAAATTCTCTTGTAAAAATTTGTAGAAGAAATCTTAATTTGAAAAATCTTAGTATTTAAAATATATTTTGGATAAAATATATATTTGTCTTCTCCTAAAAAAAATTAATTTGACTGAAGATGTTTCCACATTATCAATTTGATAACAATCGATGTCCCCCATTCTGTAAATAATGCGCGGAAGGCAGGCATAGCACGAATACTCGAATTTGCACTCTCGCGAGCACGCTCGCCCGCAAGACTTCCTACTAACAGTGGTGATTTCCGTGCTTCTTATCTGGTTCTCGGGGTTTGGTGTAACGCGGTTGCTGGCTACTTTGTACCCTCTCACCTCAGCTCGTTCCCTTTCTCACCTCGAAGAGCGCGATTTCGCGCGATTCGTCGTTCATTTCAGGTTTTCCGGATCATCGATGATATCTCTGATCAGGTAAAAGGCAGTAAGTGATGTAATTTCGTCAAAACGGATATTTTACACAGAGAGATTGGTAGTTGGAGTTGTGCCATTGAAATAATTTGGTAAGTCAAATTTAGCAATTAAACATTGAATAAATAAGTAAATAATTTGTATATTAAATTCTTGAACATATCAAATGATTACTAAATAAAGTAATTAAAAATTTAAAAAGTTATAAAATTCTGAACTTTTGATTGCTGACTAATTTTACACAGTTACGTAAATATAAAAATGTTTTAAAATAACGTTATCAAAATAATCGTTGATGTGCATTGCAGCGTGATAGAACTAAAGTAATATAAATTTTATTTATTAATTACTGCCTTTTGCCCAATCATAGAAATAATTTTTAAAAAATCGTGGAAATTCGTAACTTTAGTTACATCCACGCAAACAATTATAACTTAGAATCGTTAGCACTGCATTTTCATTGCCATTTTGTCTTTCCTTCTATCGTTAATCTTTGCGTTCACCATGATATATTTGATATATTTAACGAGTTTCATTTAATTAGCAAAATGATTATATGTATAGTTTTTCATTTTAATTGAGGCAGCAACCTTCTGTGATAATGTGTCCTTAAATTTTTTATAATTATAAGATTTATATTAAACTTTCATCAATTTATTATATTTATTTCATTTATTATATAATGTATAAATTTTGCACACATAATGTTATATATAAATTCTACGAGGAAAATGTGTAATTTTTATCTGCTATTTATAGATTGATAAAGCATAAGTATGTCAAGAAATGTAAAAGTAAATGTTAAAATAATCTGAAACTGAAAAGATTTATCATTGCAATATTATGTAAAAATTGCAGTTTCACTTAATTATTGATCCTCTTTTTATATTCGCATTATCAATCAGGTCCATGACGAAGGAATTTAAACAAACGAACTCTCGTCGGCGATAGGAAAGGTATACGTTTAGAAAGATTCGTAATGTACCCCTAGTGAATCCCTAATTCTAACTAGACACGCGAAGGGCGGAGTACGAAGGGATGCACTCTATGCAGGCACTTACACATCGCATTTCACATCGTTTTGCTCTCTTGCACTCATTGGATCTTCCGTATTCCGCCTGAACGCGCTTCAAGTATAATTAAGTGATTTTTTTTCACCTCTCCCCGAACAAGCGATCGATTGAAAACGCTTTATCGAAGATGCGAATGCACGCGCATGACGATTATATATTGCGCTTGCAACTGTTTGCCTAAAAGCGCGTTTTCCATCGAGCTCGCCGAACGCATATTTAATCTCTTTGTATTTGTCGCGCATAGTATTATTAATCGATTCGCAAAATGCTGAAATTACATTTATTAACGCATCAATTTATGGTAATTTAAGCGAGCAATATTAATTTGTTTGTAGAAGAAAACACTATAATGATATTTATTTTCTTCAGTGCAATATCAATTTTTATTTTTTATAAAATTGAATATATTAAAGTGTTTTTGCGTAAAAGTGCAAGAAAGAAATGCACAGTTAAAAATTGAATTTAATAGTCATAACAATGATTAAAAAATACGATGTATTTTCATCTTGCGCTTCAAGTATGAAGGATTAAAAATAATCAAATGCTCGCACAGGCACTCACTCACTTACAATCAACTATTACTTTAACAGAAAATGAAAGAAAAAAAGAAAAATCGGGTGAGGAAAATTAATTCATTACATCTGCCACACTTGCACCGCATCACACATGCTCATTCACCGACCACTTTTGCTCTCTTTTTCTTTCTCTCTATTCCTATCCGTTAGATATGTTTCACTGATTAACGCATGTCCATGAGGTAAAGTTTAGAGAAAACTATCAGATTGATGAAACTAGATGGGCAATTATTTCATCACCTCTTTCAAATTTTTGAAATTCTGTAAATTACAGAAATTTAAAATGAAGAAATTCAACTGTTTTGAGAATTTAATAAGTAAGAATATAATTAAATTTCGCCATTCGAAGATTCTAAAAAAAGGACATCTTTCGATTCAATTTCTTTCTAAATATGAATTAATGCATATAAATTCAAATAATCAGATAATTCAATTTTTGGGATGCGAAGAGCTTCTTTGACTAGCTCTTGTTTCAAAGATCTTCTAATCCACTGCTTCAAAATCTCATCATTATTGGAAAGATAATTCAAGCGGACGATGCAGCGCTCTTTCTCGATCTGTGTCAGAGCCGCCGGTCGTAGGTTTCGTCAGGACCGGAAGTCCGGCTGTAGCGGTCGCGTGACCCGTCTCTATAGAATCTCGAAACGAGTGCAATCACGTGTCGTCCCTCGTATAACAAACACGCTCGTCCGCCGAAGGAGGGAAGGAGGCCGCGATGTGTCCAGGGAGAGCCCTTCAGGGTGCGTGTCGACGTCGCGTATCTCAGACCGCTACGTCGTAGATTCGCTCCCGCACGGGTTAAATCTGTTCTGCTTCCGGTGCCGCGCGTCGCGCGAGATACCGCTGGATATGTACAGCGCTCATATCTCCCTCGTGTCGTGCGGAATTTACGCGCCCTTCCTCTTCCCCCGTGTCCACACAATTATGTACCCTAATTGGTGCACGAGGTCTCTTGTTCCGCTACTTCATCGATCGAGGAGTTTAAGTCTTCCGGTCTTCCCAGCTCTGTGATTTCAATTGGGAACATTGAGTGTATTTATGGACAAGATATAGCCGTAATCATGAAGCTAGTTGAGGAAGCTAATATTGTACAATTATTCTTTTCAGAGTTTTTTAATTCTTGATTTTTTATATAATTTTGTGGACTACAAGGATCAGCATTTTGTTAAAATAAAGTCTACTTAAAAAATTGAGATGAAGATATAATCTACGAGATACAATGGATATTATTATACTGAATCACAGAGTTAAAAAGATTAAAATAGATACAAGAAATATCGATCCACAAATATGTTTCTAAAAACAATATTATTGTCCAACATTTAATCGATGATTTTTGCATCAGATGGATTCGTTAATTTCCTACTTTGCGATTCTGGTGAAACAGAGTTGCCTTTAAAATCAGCACAATAGTTACAAAACTCTTTGTTTACTGACACGACAATCTGTATTAAATATATGTAAATATTAATTATAATAAAATATTAAATGTTAAAATATAAATATTAAAAATTCTCTGATTATATACTTGTGATATTTCAATTTTTCTGGTGGTGATTACGCATGGAATAATTATCTAGAGAATATATATATATATCATTCATTTACACGCATACACTGAACACACGAACGATATTAACAGAGCTGACCCTACTTATCAGTAAACAAAGGGTTAAGGGGGAATGGCGGATTGGTTGCTTTTGCAGTACTTGGTATCCGGTCGAAGCTGGGCGATAGTCGATAGGCAGCCGGCAGTACCGGTGCCAGATGAATCCGCCTCGACCGAGGCTCACATCGTGGCCACCCTGCCGTACGCACGTCACGCCTTCTTACCCTCAGCTCCCAATATCCCCAAATCTGCCACCGCCACTTGGGGCCACCTTAACAAAAACCTCATGTGGAAGGTAACTAATTCACCGCTAAACTCGCTCGCTGTGTTTCTCACCCTCTGGGGGCGGCTCTATCGTAAGGCAAACTTTAACGATCGCGTAGACTTTTGTATGAAAAAAATCTTAGCGGAAAATATGAAGCATTTTATTTACTTTGAATTATAAAAACACACAATTTTATCTCTTAAATTGCATTTCAATGTTTACTATATAATTAAAAACTTATTGACTTTAATACATTTTATTCTTCAATCATTATGTATGCGAAACAGCATCAAATTATAAGCGTTTTCCTGAAATGCTTCGAGATCATGGCTTCCTATTTGCTTCAGTTCGCTAATATTATGATACGTACGTTTGCAAGGATTTGCCAAACCGCTGCTTCTGCATTGATGAGATCCTCGCTAAGTACGATCTTTACGTTGGTAAGCGGTCCGTTTACAAGAACCAGCGGTCTTTGTATGCGCGAGGATCTTGCATTTGCGAGGAGTACACTAATCAAGCATACAGTCCATTTGCAATATCTTGGCAACTGTTATCCTCGTATTCGCGAGCATTCAACTATTTCTCGTGAGAGGATTTTGCCTAATTTTGAACCTAATATTTGCGAAAGCTTCATTAAATTGCGATCCGCGCGTCTTTACATTCGTTAAGTTTCTTATTTTTCCAAGAGACTAAATATAATATTAATAGCTTTACCAAGAGTTTCGCTAAAACTAGAGCCGTCTCCATTTTCATCGTGTGTCTTTTGGTCTCTCTATTTCTCTCTTTTATTTCTGCATGGTGTGCAGTATTAATTTTCACTCATGCACAGCACTTATTCATCTTTACGCATCCTAGGAGTGAGTCTGACCCGAATTTCGAGCATGAAGATGCGGATACACTTTGTCTCGACGTGTTTAGTGAGATTATTTTTCAAGTTTGCGACATAGCGTGTATCATAATTCTTCGTCTCCAATTTTCTTCTCTTATCTATTAAAGAAACTAAATTTTTTCCCAAATTATTTCCTGAATATTTTTGAAATAAAACGAATCAGATCTTTCACATCCAAATTGAAAAGACTTGTTTCAATTTCAAAACATGTAAAATAAATCATGTTTAAAGAAATCATATATTTATGATATTAAGAGAGAATTAACTTTCCTACATTATTTACTCAAAGTGCAATGTAAGAGAGTAATAAAACCGTATAAATTATGGAGACATAAATCAACTTCTCCATCTAAAGGAAAAAGACTTGTTTACTGGACGTGTATATGAAAAAAAATTCTTTCTTTCCACCTCTGCAATCCTTGAATTCTTTTACAAAAATACTGTAAGTACTGTCGCATATCTCTTTTATACTTTTACTTTTGGCGACGCTCGCGCTGTGAATTACCGGGATGTAGCAAAACATGGTGATTGATGAGCACCGGCTGAAGTAAATGCAGAAGAAACGGAGATGTTATGGAATAAGCCATGTCGCTCTTTCCGGCACCTCCCCCTGCTGCCTCTACCCCTTTCTCTTTTTTTCTTATTCTAATGCGCGTCCACCGCGTGAGAACAAATGCGAATACATGCGGTTATGACGTTTTATATCAGAACACAGTGCTCCATTTATCCTGTCATGAATTGTATGTGGCTCATCTCGTATGCCTTGGTTTACGTTATGTTACGTTAGTTTTTTTTCTTGTACTATGTGTACAATGAAGAGAGGAGGATGATTAACCGTGAAATACGGTCTTCATATGCAATACAAGCGGAATTTTTTCGCTCGTTTCTCCTCTCATGCATGCGCGATCATCAATTGAGCCGTTTCACTCGAAAGTGGTGTAAGTATAATTGAAGTAAGGTAGAGGTAGCAATTTTGACATTTCCACACAAGATTGGCATATATTATATAATTTAAATTAACCGAGTGTGCGAGTTAAGTGTGCTGTAGACAAAATATACATGGAAATAAACGGCTCAATTGCGCAAGTTTTCAAGTAAATCATCAGCCTCGTAGCTTTAACATTTTCGCGTCCGATGATTAAATCATTATCAACGTGATATTTCACAATTAATAAATTATTGAATGCTGTCTTTTTATATTAATTTTCAAAAATGTCGAACGTCACTTTTATTCCTTGTATAACGTACATCGATAGTTTTATTCATAAAATTTAACTCACATAGTCTAGACTCATTGTCAGACATGCATTATTATTAAATGTCATACGTTTTTAGAGGATGTCGCACAAACGCAATATTATTTCAATGCATTTGACGTAGAATTGAATGGGCGCAAAAGTGTCAAACCCATCATTTCACATTCTGCATTCTCTTCCACCCTCGCACTTGTCATCCTCTCATCGCTCTAACGCAAAACAATAACTCTCTCTGCGCAGAACATTTCTTTTAAGTCCTACTCCCGCGACTCCGGACACGGCGGCTCCGAACAGGAGGATTCCCCGCGGACGCACAACACCCTGACCCTCGGCCACTCCGGCAGGAGACGCGGGCCGAACGACGGCGGCGAGATGAACACCGGCACCAGGACCACCGGCGGCGGGAGACGCGCCGCGATGCCCTACAATCACACGTACACCGAGATCGTGGACGGTCGCGGCAACGGCGGCGTCGGGCATCATCAGTTGCACGGTCACCACGGCCAGCACGTGCACCTGCCGCGCGGCCTCATCAACGAGGACGACCCGGTGTACGAGGAGATCGAGCGAAGCGGCGCCGGCGGCAACGGAAACGGCGGCGTCGTCGGCGCCGGCGAGATCCAGGTATCGGACATGTCCGACGAGGACGGTCGACGGCAGAGCGACATGAGCAGGCAGTCCTCGAGGAGCTACGGCGATCATCGACCCCTGATCCCGTACTCGCCCGCCGCCGATCGCAACCTGGCGCATTACGGGGGCCAGACGATGACGGAGCGCGGCGGCAACGCCGGCGCCAATCTCGCGCATTACGACTCGACGGAATATGGGCCGACGGTGGAGCGTACCCTCAACGCCTGCTGGGAGAAGCTGCGCCGGCAGCAAGCCAGGTATGAACTCGGGGACCTGCCGCGGCTACCGGCGGCGTACGGGATGCCGCCGCAGCAGGACCACACGCGGACGGTGGCCGTGCTGGACGGTCACACCGTCGTCTGCCACCTGCAACCGCAGACGGACATGTACACGGGCCGCGGTATGCCGCCGCCGTCCTACAGCGAGTGTTAGGTCCTGATCCGAGGCTCGAGGACCTTTCTTTCTCGTTCTCCCGCGAAGGACGTTCTCCGAGTGACGGCGTTGAATCGTCTGGACGGTTTGTCCCGTCCGGGATTTACATCAAGTGGCTGGAGAGAAGAGGGTGATGACGGTGATAACGATTCGTTCCTGAAGAGAACAATCACGTTGATTCCCATCCGGGGAATCCGCGGGAGACGGACGTGCCGCTTTTTAGCTCAAGCGTAAGCGCGACGGTGCTTTGATGCAGGTCGTCGCGTTTTAGCCATAATCGACGTATCGCGAGCGTTCTAGGGAGCGCCGCCCTTGTCTCCGTTCAGGTGGAATTTCGGATCGGTCGTCTCCTCGGAATGAGCGGGACGAGAGGGAAGAAGGGATGAGAGCGAGCGAGAGAAAGAGCGAATGCGAGATCGACGGGTGTCCAACTAGGCTGCCACGTCGTCCAACCGACACCCGCGTCTCTTAGGATACGTCGTATCGATGCGTGCGTGAGTTCGTACCACCGCAAGACGCGGAATCTGTATAATAGAATTGTAGAACCTCTCGTTTAAGCTAAGTCGACGACGAGCCCGTCGTGGCCGGGCGTTTGGAATTGGCGAACTGAGTGCGCGGATAAAAATCGGAACGTGACGAGTCCTGATGGGATAGGAGCTTTGCGAAGTCCGAAGCGACACGATGATCAGAGGTCTCGAAAAGATTTATTCTGAATTTAAACGCCATATTTTTGTGTATTCCATACGAGCGTAACGAACCAAAGTTTTGTTATCTCGATGTTAAAGGCAGCTCGTGGAAATTTTGGCATAATATTTATCGCATATGATTAATCGAGAGATATATTAATTGAGTCTTAATATATAAATACGCTATGTATAATTTATAAAAGTAATAACTTTATATGTTTTTATAATAATGTTGAATACGTTTCAGATAATTTAAGATATTTGTTTTCAAGAGATTTTCGCTGCTACGATTTTATCCCAGTAATCAATTTTCTTTATTTATTTTAATAATATCTATGTATTTGATTTTATATATTTATATTATTGATTCCAGTTAAAACGCGCATGTTTTAAAATTATCCTGCGAATTGTGAGAAAAATATAATTCAGCTTTTGAATAGATATCGAATTGTTCGGGCAAGCATACGCGCCGTATCGTTTCTAGAAATCATTTCATCCAATATATTTCCTACAGCAATAACATTCTAGTGTTATCGAGATCGAAACAGATCCTATCTTCGTGCGCGACGGACTTCGAGGGAGGAGATATTACGTGAGCATCATCGATACTCGGCACATCTGCGTCAACCCTTCCCAGACCCGCGCCACCGCCGCATTGATTGTAACGGGTCGGGAAGGGTTACGGGACACGACAAACCGCGTATCGTAAGCTGGCATTCAGTATGGTAAGTGGATTCACCGGCGGCTCAGTCGTCACTCGTCCGGCAATATTAGGTGTCGCGTTGATCGTAGTATTAAACGCGGTTCACCGTATAGCCGAATGTAAACCACGTGTAAATCACAGGGTGATATACATATCGTTTGCATCTAGCTAGCTATGGCGAGTTGCGTTTAATATGCCGCTTAAACGTCACGCCGAGTATCACCGCATTGCGACGAATGAATCGCCTTGTCGATCACCGTCGACTCTTATATAAGTATTCGGTGAGGCAAAGCTTTCCAAACGTGGGTGGTCGGCGTGGCTGCTCCCAATTCTTAGAAAAACAGGCATTGTAATATAGATTTTTAGACATATCGCCTCTGGCCGAATACGCGTCGTCAACGATGCGCCGGTGTCGTCGTCAAGTCGAGGATCGACACGTGCTGATATCTTGATCCTTATGCGGGATTACAACGGCTCGATAAAGGAATATTTTAACCTGTGAGATGGGATCGCTGTAGCGATATTAACTTCACGCCAAGATGAAAACTACGACGTTAATTTCTGAAAATTTAATCGAGAACATCGATGATATTATTTTTGTTTTAATATAACTGAAATTAAAAAATCTTTTTATATTGTGACACAAAGTAACGCAGTTGAAGCGATCTCACCGCACGTTAATTATATTCTTTGCTTCACTTCAACGCCTCTTGATAAATGTGCTATTTGCATTGTGCAAAATATTTGTTATGAATATTTGCAAAACACATACAAAACATATTATTTTACAATTTTAAATGCGAGAAATAATCGGCTTCAGGCATGTGCGCTCTGAGCTTCTATAGTATTGTTTTTTTGTTTATTTTTTAAAATATTACTGATAATCATAAAAAGTTATTTACAAATTAATATTATTTTTTAATATGTAAAAAGGAAAGAGAAAAATAAAGATATATTATAAATATAATATTGAAGCATATAATAAAAATTATATTATTTTTTGGTATTGAGATTTATGGATATTCACGTATTTTATAATTATCGATTTAACGCATACAATTTATGCGAGTTTTTCTTAAATTTACTTAAAGAAAAATAATTTGTTGAATCTCTTTTAATTATTTTATTTTTATAAATAATATATAGATATTATTACATCACTAATTACATTCAATATTTTCTATCATCGATCATTCCTACAGATATGATTATTAATTATTGATCATTCATAAATTATCAACTTAATCTTTAGCGATTTGAAATAATTCAACAAAATTAATTACTAAAAAATTAAAGATTTAATAGAAAATTGTTCACTACAAAGATATTTCTTTTAAAAAACATGAGAGAAACACATCCAGATGTAATTTTACCTCTGACTTAACATAAACTGCAGCAAGGAAAATGCCCGAACGTTGGGGCATTACACTTTTTATTTATCAATCTTTTAAGGCAACTACCTACTTATACTTTGTCTGAAGCCGGTTCTGCGCGAGGCTTCGTCCTGACACTCGGTGCGCTCCTCGCGCGAGTTTTCACCGAGTTGTGTTTCGACGAGCGAATAACGAGCGCGTTCTCGGCGTTGATGGCCGGAAATTAGATTTCCTCCCGTACGAGAAGAACAAAGGAGAAATCGAGGGGCAATAGCTGAAGCGCCTTTATCAGTCGTACATGGTAGCTCCTCGTCGCGCGCCGCTTTGAAACGTTACGCGTTTTAGTCCCAGAACGTTATTTTTATAAATTAAAAGATAAATAAATATATATATGTATGTATATGTATATGTATACAGTAACAATATATTATTATTGTGAGAGAGAGAGAGAGAGAGAGAGAGAGAGAGAGAGAGAGAGAGAGAGAGAGAGAGAGAGAGAGAGAGAGAGAGAGAGAGAGAGAGAGAGAAAGAGAGAAAGTGAGAGAGGAATGGGAAGAAAGGCCCGTACATGGGCAAGTAAATACTAGTGATAAAAGCGGATTTCCCGAACGACGTGGAAAAATGCGCGAAAATACTTAGTCACTGTTTTTTACTATTTTTTAAAACAAAATCGTGTATGTACGTGAGAACGCGTGAGTTAAGCTAACCGTGTAACTAAAAGATTCCGCGCGCGCGCTATTTATTTTTTATCATCCGCGAGTGTTTTTTATATCGCGAGCGGAAACTGTGTCGAGTGATGGTTTGTTGTGTTCTCTAACCATCCCTCGTCGCCCCCATTGACAGAATTCATGAGAATTTTCGTCGCAATATTCTGACGGCAGGAGGAGTATCGAAAATGAACTTTGATAGTATTCTTAATATGGCACATTGTGGATGAAACTACGTTGAATTATTTATGTAATAATTAATTGAAATAAAAATATTTTTTTTTTAAGAACGCGTTTACATTTGTTTATAAATTTTAACATTTATCTTGCTTATTGCATACATTTTATTTTACAACAGATATTTTTAATTTGAAATGAAGTATAAAAAATAATTAATATATTTTTTATTTATTGATCCGGGGATTTTGTTTCATTCGAAGAGCGAAAAAATAATAATTTAACTAACGATTAACTAAGAAATTAACAAATAATAGATTCGACGTATCTTTGTTCGCTTTGTCGCGATTGCTTTAGCGTGGTTGCTTGATTTATTTCTCGCTCATGTGAAATATGCATATAGGAAAATTGTAATAGTGATAATCGCATTAAAGATAGCAGCTATGTTAAGTGTGTATAAATGTATTTCGACCTGTTTGGTACATTATCGCTTCCGATGTTTTCTAAAACATGTGTCGATGATTTTTCGAAGCACTCAGCACGAAAAATGTCAACATATCGGTGGCCTTTACAGACATTGACTTGCCAATTATGTAAAAGTTATCTATAAAAATATTAGAAATTTTGTAACTGCATCTGATTAATTGAATAATTAAAATATATATTTCATCCTGAATGATATAAGAGGCGACTACATTATTAATTTACACAAAAAACTGAGATAATAAATGATTTAATCCCCGAAAAAATTCAACACAGTTATTTCGTTCAATAGTTATAAAAGTTTTTACAAATGCAAATTATTATTTAATAAAAATATTATTAATCTCAAAATGAAACAAAATCGCGAAATTTAAAAAATCTTAAGCTAAGATATAGATTACGAAAATTATTATATATATATATATATATATATATATAGTATATATATTATGATTATATATATATATTATATATATATATTATGATTTTATATATATATATATATAATATATTATATATATTATGATATATTATATATATTATGATATATTATATATATATTATATATTATATATATTATGATATATATATTATGATATATATATATATATATATATATATATATATATATATAATGAAAATTATTAATCAGTCATATCCTAGCAAAAACAAAGCACTCGATGATCTCGTATATTAAGATGGTCGCCTCTGAAAATTAAATTAACATGAATATTATAAAAAAAATCATTAATGTAATAATTATATCTTCATGATATATATCTTCATTATATCTTCATGAATCGAGCATTTACTGTTTCATTGTTAGATCTATCCTTTCTCCTTTTTTAAAATTGCGATTGAATCGAGACTACGAGCTCTTATAGTTTAAGTTTTGCCATAACTGATTTGCCAGTGAACGTAATTAAATCTCGAAGAAGCTTACGTATAATTTTCTATTGAAAAATTGAAAACTGCGAGCCTCAGCCGTATAATATCTAATTGCCAGATCATTATAGCAAGCATCCACATTCCATCCGTTTTGACGTTCGTGCGAGAGAGAATGACGTTCGAAAAAGAGAGAATTGGCTGCCACGAGTTCGAAAGTCGATCAGTGTGTTAGACGAGACCAATAGTCCGCATTCTCGACGCATCTTTAGCACTACACGACGAATCGAGAAGAAAATCAAACATCCGTACTTAGTGCTGTATCTGCGACAAGCAGTCACGTTTAGTCCGAAACGTGCGATGAGAATGAGAGATCGTGTTCTTGTTCCATGTGTCCCGATTTTCCCGACTAAAGTTTAATCGCGTGCACGAAACGGACATTACACGAGGACACGCGAAGCGTTATCAATGTTGCGAATGACTCCGAATGCGAGAATCGTATGTACATAATGTAAATAAGGCTTTGTACATGTTGAATACTTGTAAAGTGGAGCGCGAGCGTGAAAGATCGAGAGAGAGAAAGAAAGAGAGAGCTGAGAGGATGCGAGAGACTCGGAGATGATGACCGATAGATGCGAAAATAAAGCATACCTTAGGCTAAGCGAGTTTACTAGTAAGTAGCGAAGCTATTACAAGCTATTATTATTGGTGACGCGACGTGGAGGACGCGCAAGGCGAATCTTAATTTAAGACTCAACGCGTATTAGTTAATGTGTAAATAAGCGAAGGAAGTAAAATATTAAAGAGCCCAAGTAATCGTTGGATATTTATAACGAACTCTACTAAAGTAGGTCGACTGACGGAAGGATAAACGAGACGGCTGGAATCGAAACTCGCGAAGTCCGTCTTAGTCCGCGGAATTATATTTAAAGTGATCCTTTTTGTGTGCTCTTTGCTAGAACTTATGTTAAATATAAAGTTATATTTAAAACGATCTTTTTTCCCCCAAGATCTGTTTTAAGTATAAAATTATATCTAAAGCGATTTCCCATTTCGCTCTGGTTTGCTTTTTAAATGTAAAATTATATTTAAAGCGAATCTCGTAAGAAAGGACTGCGCTGCAAATGTAGTTTTACGTTTAAATTCAATTTAACGGATCTTGGATTTTACGAATTACGATCCAGATATCTCGATGAAACCTGAAAAGAAAGAGAAAAAGAAACACAAGACAAAACGTAATCGTACACACTCGTCCACATGTGTATCGCTGCGCGAGAAAGGATCAAAGGACGAGGAAAAGATACGTGTGCGGCGTTGATTGGACACGGACAGACGATGTACAGTGCATGTTTTATCCTTAGCCGTTTTATAAATGTAAATATCTTCCACCTCCCCCGCTCACACTATCCTTTTATCCCTTCTCCTTATCCTCGTCCGTTTTCTTGCAATAAGAGCCCGAGATTAATTGATCGTTCCAATTGAGATGTTCCTTCTTTCTGGGTAACGATTCTTTACTTTCTCGCTCCCTCTCCAAATGTTTCATCTCTCTTTTCCCGTAAATCTCCTAACTTTGTCCTGTGAGATACTTAGCGGATAAGCTTTCGTTTCGGAGTGAAAGAGACGAAATGCATCGAGCGAAGCCAAAATTATCTCCCGTCGAATTATCGCTTTTCAGGACCGATTCGAGACATTTTGGAGCCTCCTGCGAAGTAATATTTGCGTCCTACACTGTATATATTGTAATTTGCTGTGAAAGAGTAAAAGATAGCGAGAAGAAATGCGAAAAAGAAAAAATTCAGCGCGCGAAAATTATTTTAAACCTCTTTGATTTCTATTTTTTCGACAACACGTGATCGCAAGAGGCATCAAAATAGCGGTCTCTGCGGTAGGTGCGATGATTACGGTAGCTTTAATTCTCATTCTTACCGTCGGTACCTCCGTTACGATGGATGCGATTGTTAAAAGTTGCCGATACTTAGAGATATCAATAGAGAAAAATGTTTAATAAACCGCTCCTTATCATTTCCTTCTCCCAAGTCGTCGTAACACTCGAATCGAAAGCCGCGAAATCGTTGACCTTAGAGTTTACGCGATCGCATAGAATTCGTACAATTCTGTGATCTTACTTTTTACGTTTTTCCTTCGCGATGTAAGTGATACTTAACGCTAGAACGCTAACCGGGACCGTCGACACAGATATCTCAGACGTGTGTCAATTTTCTGCTAATTGATCTATTTTTTTAATAATTATTATAAATACATTTTGTATCAGTAAATAATGATTATCATCGATATTATATTTTGCTTTTTGATTTAGCTATTGATTTTACTTTAAAGTTTTTTTATATAGTTCTTAAAAAAATATGCGAGATATCGCGTGTCGCGAGGTGTCAATAATAATTGTCAATTGTTATGTTAGCGTTCTAGAGTTTAAGAGAGACGCGACGCAGTCTCGTTTAGCACGCACACACTTAACAGCAAGCGTATAAGTTTTCTGTACTACGTCGCCTGCCTGCGCACACTGAAAAAGAAGTTTAACGAAACTGAGGAGAAAGGGTAAAGGTAGAAAACGAAGAAGAATGTAAAGCCTAGGTATCTCCGAACTAATAAGAGCCTCTGTTTCTTGATTTTTGTATGCTTCTTTAAAACTGTCTGATACAAGGAAAAACAAAGGATAAATAAATGTGTACCAATCTCTGAATAAAATACCACCTGCCTAAGTCTTTTCTTCAACCTGAGCAATAGTTGACATTTCCGTCGGGAATCGAGCAATTTATAAATGTACCAAAAATCTTTCTATTGAAAATAGATTACGAAAAGTAACGTATGTAAAAAATTACGTTTTTTACAAAAAAAAAAAATTGATTTCAATTATATATAACGTAAGAGGTGTACGCAAGAAAGTATAAATAGAGATGAAAACGTTGATTTACTTATGCTTTTAACTTATATGATTTCTGTTGATTTTCAAGAGACTGAAAAATACACAGAATAAAGACTTTATTTAGCGCCATGTCTAATCAGAATTTTGATAACGTCGCTTTGATTGTTCCTTTGAGCTATCATCAACGGTGTCATCCCGAAAGAGGCTTCGCGATTCACGTTAATTAAATTTTGTTCCAAAATATATTCAACAATCTCCGAATTACCAGTCAGCGCGGCAATGTGTAGAACAGTTTGACCGATGTTGTCTGTGAGATTGACATTGGCTCCCAGATGTATGATGCATTTCGCTATATTCAGATTTCCATGTTTTACTGCCTCGTGAAGCGGCAAAGAGCCTGAAGAATCTTGTACGTTCAGAAGATTTGCACATGATGCGACGAGTAAGTTAATCACTCTTTCGTGACCATGAAATGCTACAATTAAAGCAATTGAAGAAGCGAAATAAAAACGTTGAAATTAATAACAATGCAGTCTTATGTATTCCTAATTTCGAAATGAATATTGCCACTTAATTTAGTAAAATGTTTTTTTTTTATATTCTTAGAAAATAATAAATGAGTATTATAAGAAAAATATTAAGATATTTTTAAAGAAATAATGTATCAAATATTTAAAAATGCAAAAAACAAATTTATAGAGAAGAATAAATTTAGATAAGAAAATTAATATAATATTTTATAGTTGCAATTTAGATTTTGATTTAGCTAAAGAAAGTAGATCCCCTTAAAATAATCCAAAAAAGAAAGCTAATAAAATATAAAAATATTACACGTTTGATTGATAAACTTTTCACTTATCAAGCATTTCTAGCCTTACCAGCAATTTAACTACTGTAGGTTCTGCGACCTTTGATATGAAATTCTCTACTGAGAATAATCGCGATTTCTGTAAATCTAGCACTTTAATTTCTTAATTTTGAGCAAATTAAAAAAAATTTAATTTCATGCGATCATAATTTCTCTTTCATGATTCTTTAACATTATATATTCTTCTCTATAAAACTATTATAAAAATATTTATATATATTTGTATCTAAATATTCATATATAAATATTTATATATATGTATATGTTGTGTGTAAATAATTACATTATTTATATATTATTTATAATAAATTCAATGTAAAAAAATAAACTTAAAAACTAACATATATTATAAATATATGTATAATTACCAGCGATATGCAATGCGCTGCGACCATTATTGCTTCGATCATCGATGCACTTTGGCGAATGCTTCAATAATAAATCGATAGCATTCTCATCACCAGTTCGACAAGCGATAAGTAACGGAGTCCAACCATCTTTATTGCGTAAATGTGCGTTAGCGTTAGCGGCTAGAAGGATAGTGATGCACTGACAGGCAGCTGGACCATTTTTGGTGCATGCCAGCATCAAAGGAGTCCAATCGCCGCGTTTTAAAGCATCCACTGATGCACCTTTATGAATCGAACGGTGGTATAACTTAATGTCAAACATATCTCTCCGTAATTTAATATAATAATTAACTTAATAATAATATAATGATTGATATAATGATAAATTACAATAATTAATTTGACCTTAAAAAGATACAAAACAAATTAATCTTTGAATGTATGATTTCTAAATAGAGAATTTAATAATTTATATTCTGCAAGAAAATATAAATGAATCGAATATTAAGAGCGAATAAAATACTTTTGCATATTTTGTTTGTATTTAATTAAGATCAAATTTTAAGATTTATTTACATGATAAATAAATAATTAAAAATTAAAGATACAACAAAATACCTTTTTCCAATAAATATTTCAAAACTTCCACCTGCGCAAATTGTGCAGCTTCGTGCAAAGGCCTCTTCATATCTTTGTTGGTGACATTGACTATAAATTCTGGCATGTCGAAATGTTCGCACAGATATTTCACAACATGCAACTTTCCCGCTCGTGCCGCCACGTGCAGCGAGGTATCGCCAGATGTCGAGTGACAAAAGTCGCTCCAATCGCGCACTCCATATCTGTCGACGAGGGTTTCCACTCTGTGGATATCTCCGCTTTGACACGCACGCAGGAAATCGCGCGACAAGTTATGAAGCTCGGCCGTAGCAACATTATTATACATATTTCGTTAAAAAAGAAAATAGGAATTTTTAATTTAATTAGCGTTTCACAAAATAAACAAAAAATTTGAAGTAAACACACCAAGTAGTAGCAAATGTTCTTCAAAATTTAACGACAGTAACAAATGTGTGCTGTCACCAAACGACTACTCATACAAACTTATATACGATCGATGAAAGAGCAGTTCTTCCACGAGAATCTTATATCTGAACATCGTGATCTTATTTAGCAGCAATCGGTTATATCAATTGTTTTCAAATGAAAGAAATTTATCTTATAATTAACAATAAATGTTGTAGTCTGTCGCATTTCGTTGTCTTGAAATCGTAAGGGTTTATTGTGCTTCTCCTTTCCTATGGTGTCTATCGAAATATCTTTTGCGATCATCTTCAAGCGTTAATCAATACATACTGTTTTTTTTTCTTTTAATTCCTCGATCCGTAATTTGTTTATTACTGCACATCCCAACAATGATTAACAAATTACATCTAAATCGGCGAAAAATTTAAAGTGCTAAAAATATATTTATATATTATATATATTAAAAATATATTTATATATTATATATATTATATATTATATGTATTATATATTATAGAAAACCTCTGTAAATAAGAATTATCGTTTTTACATTGCAACGTTGTGTATGGCGTTATCGAAAATAACAGATATTTTTTAAATAAAATTTTTTTACAATGCATTACATTGTACATTTTTTCATATGTGTAATGACATAGTGCATATTTTATTATAATAAAGTTTATTTGAACACTTAATTTATGTACGTATTTTTATTTGATAATTACCTCTATAAGTGAGACAGGCGCGTTTTAAACCTGGATAATTGAGAAATTGAGTAAGTGACATACCTCTTTAAGTGGAATGAAATAAACTGTTCCTTGCGATTTCACTTAACCAGATTTGACTGTATAAAGAATTCATATATTCCATTCTAATAGCTAACGTTATTTATATATTTTTATTATAATTTTCATACCAGCATAACTTTTATGCTTAATACTTCATATAATATAATGTACTGAATTATAAAATTTAATATAATTACAAAATAGTATTACTATTAATAAATAGATTGTATGCATACTGTTTTTCAGTTTCCAATCACTATGCATTTCTATCCAATATATTCTCTTCTTCGAATTCTTGGATTATTATGGTTTATTGTATTTCTTTGTATTAACATTATCATCACTTGTCATACTTGTCTCTTCCTAAAAAATTTTAATGATCACCTAATAGCCCTAATAATCCCTTTTTTTTACATTATTTTATTTTTGATGATCATCTAATAGCCCTAACAATCCTTTTTTTCACATTATTCTATTTTTTAATTTATTTTTAGTTTACATTATTTATTTAATTTATTTCATTTTTTAATTTTTAATTTTAAATAATTTTTTCTTTGACAAATTTGACTGATTTTATTACAGGCATCGTCAAAATAATGAGATACCGAGGCATTTATTATTACTTTAGACGGTACACTTTGTAAGTGACTCCGATATAAAATCTTTTGTTATTGTTTTTTATCACATCATCACATTTGCGCTGAAGATGGCCCAAAAATAGGATCGAAACGTTCGGTAACTTTTCTTTATAATTTGTTCCATACTTATTTGATTGTATAATAAATAATTGTATTATAAGATCGACACTTGACTCGTATTGCCATTAAAACTGAATTGTTTAATTTTATGTTTCGAGTCTTATATTTTTTTATTAATTATATTTATTGAAATATTTATTAATCTGCTTTCCCTAATATTATTTAAACCTACATTTCCTGATTCTTTAAAAGATACGTAATATATTAATCACCTAAATTAATCACATAATAGTCCTAAATCCTCTAATAGTCCCCAATCCTCTATTTCTTGAAAGGAAAATTAAAAAATCTTAATAATCATCTGATAGCCCTAACAATCCTATTTCTCGATTAAGTGAAATTATTCGAGCCTATCTCTAATCACGTATATTTTAAATTACGTGCCCTAACACTTACATTCTCTAACCGCATGCCCTAACCGCGTGAATAAATATCCGACATTACGTACTATTGTACGTAAGGCTTTTCTTCAGGCCAGTTGAACTTTTTTTTTCGATTTGATCCTGGCCACTTTCTCGCTCGATCTCTAATCAGAGATCGAAAAAGGAGATAAACACTCCTTCTTTTGCCGATTAATTACCGGCAAATAAGCGTAAACGTTTCACGCTCATCGTAACGATCGTTCGATTTTACGATCGTTCGTTAAATATTTGAGTATAATTTTATTTTAACTCAAATAAAGCCAAATTACTACAAATTTTTGTATATTATATTTTCTAATAAAATATAAAATTCATGTGTGTGTATAATTTTTATCATATTATTTTTATCATATTACAAGTTTTTTAATTAATTAATTATTTGGCTTTATATTAGTTATATAAATTAAAATAAAGTTTAAAAACAATATCTACAAATAAATTCTACGATGGATGAGCTATAAGAAACTAGAATAAAATAAGTGTGTGTTATAAAAATAAAGTAGCATCAAAAATTGATAAAATTGATAAAATTATTAATACGTGTTCTTTATTTAATAAATTAAACAAAATCTTTACAAAAATTTTTAAAAAAATTTTCTTCTCTTGATTCTCTTTTTCTAATTAATATATTTTCGCAATAGATGCAAAGCATTTCAAAAGAATTTATTAAAAGTTATTTAATTAATCTATCCTAGCTCATCCATTTTAAGGCAACGGATTTATCTACAATCTACAATCTTCATCTACATCTACATCTGCAATTTCTACAAATCCGTTACCTTAAAGTTAAATAAAAGTTTTTTTCACTCACCGGCACTGATGCGCAACAGCGGAGTTGTTGTAATCGAAGCTAGTTGTCTGTAACATAGAAATATAAAATTCATTTATAATAATGCTCACAAAATGTAATTAATATTTTAAAAAATTTTTATCGCGCGGAATTTAATATCCGATGTGTAAAATAATAAGCAGATAGTCACTCATGGAAAAATTTTATAAATTTTTGAAACTGTTTTTTAAACAGAAATTTTATATGACTTTTATAAAAATCTTTTTCTTTATTTTTTTTAATTCATTTAAATAATAAGACCGAATTATTATCCGTACAATTGATATTAATTAATATACAAATAATAAATATTCACCATCAGGTTGCTCCGCCGATGCAAGATGCCTCTCCTAGGCCTCCTCCTCCTCTCATGTTGTTGGCGCGCGATACTTTTAACGACACTCCCGCACTCGCGAGCGATATTTTTATATCGCTATTTTCGTTATTTTACGCACGATACTGAACGGCACTCCCGCACTATTTCGATGCGATTAAAAATTTTATATTTGATCGCGCGATGTATATACTTAATATGTATATACCTTTAACGGCACTCCCTAATATGTATATACTTAACGCGTTGACGAAGCGCTTGTCGTCCGCGGCACGTTGACGCCACCGATGACGCGAAAGGGTACTTAGTTTCCTATTCAGGCACCTTAAGATTTATCATAAATTGAAAAATTTAAAATAAACCTCAAGGCACCATCCAAGTACTAAGCCCTCCCACCGCGACAAGGTGTACCCCATGGGAGGGTTATATTATATTATATATAATTTTATATATAATGTAATATATAATTAATTTTGTAATAAACTATATAAATTTTAATTCGCAAATATAAACTATAAATAAAAATATAAAAGATAAGAGAAAAAATCTATTATATAAAGCAATGTTCAAAATAATTGTTAGAGAAAGAATTTGAATATATGGAACGTCTCACATCACTACCTCACTGTTCGAAGGCCACTGAGGGAATGATCGTAGGTCAGAAACATTACCGCGGTACTGTTTATATCCAGATTGATCAAGATTGATTATGTAGAGAGAGAATTTGATAATATATGAAACGTCACAACTTTATTGTTCAAAGTGCGAATGATCGTAAGTCATAAAACATCGTTGAAATATTCTATGAATGATTGTCGATTAAGAAAATTTAAAGCATTGGTCGAAATTTATTCAATTTTAATAAGTATTGTTAGAGAAATTATTATAATAAGCATCAATAATCGAAAGATCATAATCAAATTAATTTCTTTATCCTCTTTTATATTTCCTTTTTCAATTTTTATTCGCAGTAATTAATGATTGCGATTCGATAAAGATATATCGTTGCGATACATTTTCATGATCTTTATCATAAGTTAATTTATTTTTAATATGATCGTCATCGAAATATTTTACGTACTTTAACATGTATATATATATATATATATATATATATATATATATATATATATAATACCAATATAGCTATTTTGAAAATAATACATATATAAATAATAATAATAAATAAATAATTTTTATAAATTACTCACTAATAATAATAATACTAAATAATTTTTAAAAATTACTCACCGCATATCTCTCTGACTGCTTCACTGCTCTCTGAATGTTCGATACTTTTCCAGATGTCCTTCTTTTTTCTTCTACATCCCTTGCTGTTTCCTCATAGCACTCATATTCACTCGCGAACAAACAATTAATTATATTTAATCATATACTATAGAAACGATCGCGAGACTTTTGCACGGCACACGATCGCGGAATAATTACGAGAAACGCACATTAATATATCGTATAATGGATAATGAAGTACAATTCGCTCTACAATAGTCGTAGCGAATTATATTTCAATACTAATCGCGATCGCGTTTAGGAAAAGAATTCAATAATACGAAGCGTTTTGTATCACTACTTTGCCGTTGGAATGTCGTGTGAATAATACAAGGTTGTCTATGTATTTATAATTTTTGCCTCTTTTGTTTCAATTTTTATTTGGAATAATGAAGGATCGCGTTTCGATGAATGTATCATCGTCATATAGTTTCATGTTATTTATTAAGAGTTAATTAATTGTTAATTGTAATAATCGTATGGAATTATATTTCGATATTAATCGCGATCGCACTGTTAGAAAAATAATTCAATAATACGAAGTGTTCCGTACCACTACTTTACTACTGGAATGTCGCCGTGCGAATGATACAAGGTCTTCGCCTATGAAAACAATACAGCGCTACGTCATCAAGGCCGAACGTCGTGTTATTGACCTCGCTGCCGAAATATTTTACGCGTACAATGACGTACATATACGAAAATTGAATTTATATACAAGTATATTTTTAAAGTCACACAGATTAATTATTTATTAAACGATTAATATATATCTCACATGCCTTTATATATATATATATATATATATATATATATATATATATAAATTCAAAAATAAATTCAACTTAAT